ATCGTGGATAAATTTTGACAATACACGACAATAGTCAAATTTTATTGAAAAATAATAATATAAACAATAAATAATTCTTATATTAAAATGGCACGGAGGTCTCAATTTACTGCTTCCTGTCTGATTTCATTATGAATGAGCAATCTATATGACTATATAGCATTGGATTTTGTCCCCTGGCTACACGAGCGCCATCTTAATTGTATACATTTTGGTGGCCACTTTTTAATATAAAGATCCATATAAGATTGTCCTCCTTTTCTCTACCCTCCATAGACGGTACTAAACATGACTGCACTTTTGCGTTACTTTGACATATGTCAAACTCGAGCTAGTCAGTTTTGGTGATAATAAATGGCATTTTATTAAAATAGGGTGATTAAAATAATATAAAATCATTTTCATTCCGTCAATCTACAAATATAAAATTATTAACTTAAAATTAATAAAAATATGACACAGAGTGCCTCCACTTGTCATATCACAAAATAGTCCTTATTTCGTCTCTACCTACTTCATATTCTATCTTCTCAATATTTCTAACTTTCCAATCAAGCTCTCAAATTCTAAAAATCAACATGAGACAATTTTAATTGTAATAAAAATTAAGTTTAAATAAAACTGTGATTTTAATAAATCGGAAGTATGTATGTCAATATAACGATTGTTACCGAAAAACGTCACAGGTAAACAAAATTACTATTATTTTTGAGGTTATGTTTATTTCCAAATTATAGTTGTAATTATTTTGTTTTTTATTCCAGAGTCTACAGATTATATCCAAGAATATATACAGAATATTCCCAACTACGCATTGAGCAATTTTTTTGTTTCCAACAAAAATCAAACGAAGTTTCAAAAAAGTATGACAATTTTATTACATATTTTATTGAGAGCCCGTCATTTCAGCAAGTTGAAAATAACTACTTGCTGATTAAACTATAGGGATATTGTTTGTTAATTTGTCAAGTAAACTTACAAGTAACTTTACTCAGAGGTGAAAAGATCGACACTTAAACAAGGATAATTTTTTTGCATTTTAGTTTTTCGGATCTCACTTCACTTTCTTACATTTTACTTGTAGAAGTTTTTAGATTAGTATTGTATATTTTTCATAAAAATTTATTTGAAAAATACTCTTCTCAAATACCACTCGTTCTTTTAACTTTTATCTATTAAATTTGGTGGACTCGGGGTATTGCCTATAGAAGTAAAAATAAACTAAAAGTAAATCTGTCAGTAGTTTCCAGAGTAGGAAAATAGTAAAACAGACCAAAAAATGGCGAGTATTTGAATAGATATATTTTTTCAACATAATGTAGATAATATGTATCAATAATTTATCGAAAATTAATATGAATAAAATTTTTAAATATTCGTCACATTTAAAAACGAAAAAAACAAGTTTGCAGTGTTGTTAACCTTTTTTTATTAAGTCTAAAAATAACAATAATTATACTAGAGGTATATGAGTAATCCTGATTTTCCTGGGTCAGTAGCAATGTTGGATACCGTGACGTCAGAGCTTAAAGAAATGTATTATCGACTGTTATTATAGGTAAAACAAAAAAAATACTCAAAAAGAAATTTGGCGAAGGATCTCAATTCCTCCACCATATTTAAACTATGAAAATTGGTGGTAGATAGAGAAAAATAATTACTCTTTAAAATGGAAAAATTTCTAATCAAGCCCTTTAGATAACACAATGACAGAAATAACCAGAGCTTTAAAAGCATTGCAAAGCTCTTGTTGAAACATCTTAACGGACAATACGAGAAATTTTCATTGTTTAAGGGACTCTTTCTTTCTGGTTTTAAGTAATTAGAACGAAATGCTTTTACTGTTAATTACCGGCAAAATTAATTCTTTCAGTAGACAGCGTTTCTTAATTAATGTACTACCAACTAATTTGTAGATGTAAATACAATATTTAAATTACAATGTATAACAAAAAATATAATCAATGAGAGGATTTTTATATTAATCGAGACATAACAAATTTATATTCCTCTAAATTATGATCTAGATGAAAATAAACTTCTAACCCTAATATCCCAAATTCCTTTTCCAAAATTAATCTTTTATTGGCCATAACACTATTTGGGGTTCACACATAACTACCACTACAGGGAAAAAATAGCAAATATCAATAAAAATAAATAAATAATGAAATACATCAAAATAATATAGGTCATTTCTCATTTAACAATAACCACTTCTTCACCAAGTATTGAATTGCCTTAAAAGAAAGTGTGATTTTTTAATTTTTTTCCATCTCTGCTTTTTTCAATACTTGGTGAGGTATTAGCCAAAGGAGTAGTTATTGTTAAATGAGAAATGGCTTCTTATATTATTGTTATGCATGGCTTTTAGATATGTTTGATGTATTTCATTATTTATCTATTTTTATAGCTTTTTCGAAAAAATTTACTAGGTATTTTATATACTTTTTTGCACTTACTACCAACGAGTAGTTTGCCTAATGCTAATTGTAATATGTATTGCCTATCTACACCATTTTTGACCTTGGAGGTGTTAAATGTTTCTCGCTCCCTGCTTGTACGTTATCCACTCTAAGTGATCTATCGATCTGGACGGTCTACTGAAGAAGCTGTGATGATTTTCGGTACCATTTTTTTTTTGTAATTAGTAGGCGTACTTGTGGTGCGGTGTTTCCAGATCTGCACTACTAATTTCTCCAGATCTGAGGAAAAATCAACAGGAGTGTGCTTACATGGCTTACCATTTTCTATAAGAAATTAAATGAAATTCCTGTTACTTTCGACAGATGAACAAATCAAGCTGTGAAATCGCGAATTGCCATCTGGGCATTGTTAAACCAGTATATTAGATATTTGGAACACATTCAAAGAAATACTTTGTTTAAATTTTAACGTTAACGATGTTGATCAAACTAAATAAACTTTTTTTTGTTTCAGGTTTGATCCCCAACACTGCCCTCGCGACGACGCTACTGATTATTTCGGAACACAGAGCCAGGTAAAAAAGCCACCTTGTGGGAATTTAACTCATTTAATTGAGATTGATAAAGTTTTTTCAATTAAACTACCTATTTTAGCTGTCCTTTATCACTTTTGTACGTTACATGCAAAGAAAAACAATGTTGTGTACATAATTTTATATAGTTACAACAAACAATTTTCGAATGTTTTCGTAAATCTACTGTTAATATTTCTCCAATTAGCGGGAGTTGAATGACGTTTTTAACAGCTTGAGAACGCCCCATGTTTATTCCATACTTTCCTGTAGGTAATGATTATCATTAGTGATAATCAATTTTTATAGCATTGTATCGGCCCGTCCCCACATTGCCGCGGCCCTTCCCTACATTGCCGCGGCCCTTATGACGCCAAGGTCGCTTCTGACTTCTCGATTTTCTCTCTACGAATCGAAGGGTTCTTAAACCTTCGTTATTCGGTGCGTCTTTCACTGAGCGGTGGCTATTTTACCCACGGGAAGGTGACGAAACGAGTATTATCAAAGATTAACGAGATGTAAGCAAAAAAATTATTTATATATAAAAAAGAAGAACTAAGAAAGGGTCAATGTCAAAGTAAGAAAGAGGCCATGCATGTTGTAAAACGTAAATTAAAAAACTTATTCATAAACAAACTTATAATACTAATCAACTGCCCCATGCTCATTCGTTATTCGAAAATTTCTTGAAAAACTGCCAACACAAAACATGGCCAAGAATCCCAAAAACAAAACTATTTACAAAAAAGCGCAAACACAAACATATCAATTCTGAAACATTTCTTGCTTGAGGCCAGAACATAAGTTATTGTTCGAGAATGGTTTTATTAATATTGCTTTAAAATAACTACAATAAAACAAACAATACTGTTACGTAGCACCCTGTAGCGTGCTGTGGTCGTCATAAGTAAAGGTACGAGTAAATTAAGAGGATAAGAATAACCTAGAAATGTTTCGAAATGTCATTCCTTGTCAAAGAAAAGTCCGGATTGTTCGAGAAGGTTCGAGAAGGTCGAAGCAAGCTATATAAGTCGATGACCTGACAGAGTTCAGTTTTATGATAGACGTTACATGTTAATGTTATCAGTTGTATAATTGTTGTTAAAGTTTAGTTGAATTAAATTGCGATACCAAAAACCTGTGTAACAATACTCATGCCCAAATAAAACATAAAGCTACACTTTTCAATTAGAGCTAAATAACTAATTAATAAAACTAGGTCGAGGGACAGCAAATGTATGTTATATTTAGATAAGTATGAGACTAAAACTGTCTGTAAAATTGATAAACGAAATGGCGTCACTCTTCTCTGTGAATGAGATAAAGTAAATTAACTTAATATAACTTACAAGTTTTATTTCTGTAGTAAACTCACCTCAATTTCTAAAGAGATATTCTGTTTCCCATATAAGAGCACAACGAAAACCTCTAATTATTTAGAATATAGGGCTGTCGCTCGCTGGACATAGGATAAACGGATGAAATAAAATGACTACACAACCCTTCTTCTTCTTTTTCTTCTTCTTCTTCTTTCTCATCTTCTTACAAATCAGAAATTCTTCATTAAGTGTTGGCCTTTTACAACATAGCCCGTATAGTAACCTTTTGTGGAACATTTATACCATTTTACAGAAATATTTTCAGTTAAATATTTACCTAAAATATTTCAGAAACTTGTGCTAGAAATGTTATTGGAACAAACCAAAACAGAACAATTTGTACTCAAAAACAAAACACTGTCAGAACAGTTAAATATTAAATAGCAATTTAGAAATGAAAAAGAAGAACTAACAAAGGGTTAATATCTTAGTTAGAAAGGGGCCATGCAATATTGTAAAATGTAGATAAATTAAATAACTTATTCATAAACGAATGTATAACATTATATCAACTAATGAACTGTCACAATAGATATTTAAAAAAAACCTTTCACAAATGGCAGCAAAAAACATGTCCAATGTCTAATGTTCAATGTCCAATGTCAATCGTCCAATATCTAATGTCAATCGTCCAATGTCCAATGTCCAATGTCCAATGTCCAATGTCCAATGTCCAATGTCCAATGTCCAATGTCCAATGTCCAATGTCCAATGTCCAATGTCCAATGTCCAATGTCCAATGTCCAATGTCCAATGTCCAATGTCCAATGTCCAATGTCCAATGTCCAATGTCCAATGTCCAATGTCCAATGTCCAATGTCCAATGTCCAATGTCCAATGTCCAATGTCCAATGTCCAATGTCCAATGTCCAATGTCCAATGTCCAATGTCCAATGTCCAATGTCCAATGTCCAATGTCCAATGTCCAATGTCCAATGTCCAATGTCCAATGTCCAATGTCCAATGTCCAATGTCCAATGTCCAATGTCCAATGTCCAATGTCCAATGTCCAATGTCCAATGTCCAATGTCCAATGTCCAATGTCCAATGTCCAATGTCCAATGTCCAATGTCCAATGTCCAATGTCCAATGTCCAATGTCCAATGTCCAATGTCCAATGTCCAATGTCCAATGTCCAATGTCCAATGTCCAATGTCCAATGTCCAATGTCCAATGTCCAATGTCCAATGTCCAATGTCCAATGTCCAATGTCCAATGTCCAATGTCCAATGTCCAATGTCCAATGTCCAATGTCCAATGTCCAATGTCCAATGTCCAATGTCCAATGTCCAATGTCCAATGTCCAATGTCCAATGTCCAATGTCCAATGTCCAATGTCCAATGTCCAATGTCCAATATCCAACGTCCAATGTCCAATCTTCAATGTCCAATGTCCAATGTCCAATGTCAAATTTCAAATGTCCAATGTCCAATGTCCAATGTCCAATGTCCAATATCCAATGTCCAATGTCCAATGTCCAATGTCCAATGTTCAATGTCCAATGTCCAAGGTCCAATGTCCAATGTCCAATGTCCAATGTCCAATGTCCAATGTCCAATGTCCAATGTCCAATGTATAATGCCCAATGTTTAATTTGCAGCACACAAGTCCAATATCCATTTTCCAATGTACACTGTACAATATCCATTTCCCAATGTACAATGTCCAATTTACAATGTCTAACGTGCAATGTCAAATGTTAAATGGCAGCGGTCAAATGTCAAATGTCAAATGTCAAATGTCAAATGTCAAATGTCAAATGTCAAATGTCAAATGTCAAATGTCAAATGTCAAATGTCAAATGTCAAATGTCAAATGTCAAATGTCAAATGTCAAATGTCAAATGTCAAATGTCAAATGTCAAATGTCAAATGTCAAATGTCAAATGTCAAATGTCAAATGTCAAATGTCAAATGTCAAATGTCAAATGTCAAATGTTCAGGGACGAGAACAAAAAATAATAATTTCAAAAAAACGCAAGCTCAAATATATGAATTCTAAACAGATCTTGTTTTGGGCCATAACTGAAGTTACTGTTGTAGTAGTACCTAATGATGAAACAAATACATGAGCATATTTTCTAAATAAAAATTAGGAAATTAATCCTAATATAACAATACTTTCAAAAAATGAATTAAATACCAAGCTCCTTTGGATAGGTGTTTTTCTTAAATTGCCTATTGTGCGGTTGTTTAGCCACTGTTCGTTCGTTCGTAAGGTACAAGAGAAGTTTATGTAAGCGGTTAGACTTGCGTGAAAGATTACTGAAAAGAGGATGAGGTCAACTTTTCCGTAAATTGGTTTCGCCTCAGTTGGGACATCTATAAAATATAATACATTGTATAGTTATTTTATTTTTCAGTCGGTTAAAGCTTGCTCTATGGAATAGAAATATCGTTTAGAATTACTCTACAGTTCCCAATTTTTTTTTTGTTGTTAGTAAAATTGGGATCGAAATAGCCTAAAAGGTTTACAAATGAGTTAATACTCGTATAATATAATTTTTAATAAGGGAAGTTTTAACGTTTATGTAAATTGTATATTATACATATGCATGAATGTAAACTCATCTGTTTTAATTAATTTATGATGATGTCAGCTAACAATGAAAATTTCATGCGGTTTCAGACTTTTTTTGAACATAAAATGCATTCTAACTGTTCTATGCGTCCATCATCTTTCGTTTGTTATACAGTGACCTAAATCATCACTTCGCAAATGATAGTTTGCGAACTCCAAAACGTGTACGATCCGGCAACTTCTATATCCGTTAATCGAGCGAAACGAATTTTTTTCCAGAATGCCCTGGGAGAACAAAAATAACATATCCCGATATAAAAACGGTGCAGCTACATAATTGAAAATAGTGATCCTAGGGAATTTGTTAACTTCACCTGCTCACTTATAATTGCGTTTATTAACCATGTATAAAAACCTCTGTTAATCCTTTACAGTACCCGCAATTTATATGCTGCACTTTAGACATTTAATGCCTTATTTCTTTCTGGAATTTGTGTCAAGAATATTCTGACCCCAGGAATATTCCGAATCTTCAACTGGTGCTACCCGTGTTTTTTAATATACATTAACGAAATTGGCGCAATTAATCGTTTTTTCTGTGACGAGACTTAAAACCAAAATGTTTAAGTACTTTTGACTAGCTGGTTTTTCCAGATATCGTTTCCAGACAACTTATTTATTATTACCACAGAATAGAGAAATAAAGAAAAGAAACATATGGCTAGTTCCATCACAGACATACTCTGAAAAAACGTATCTATTCACAGGAAACCACAGAGCAGGTATACGGGTATACGGGTATACAGGTATAGTTACGTTTTCTCAGAGTATCTCTGTATTGGAACTAGCTCTATGTTTCTTTTCTGTATGTTCTTTTTTCTGTGTTATTACGGTCCGAGTGACAAATACTTTTTGACCCTTTTGTTTGCCTTTATTTACTCATTTATGCACAATGTGTGTATACATTGTGACAATTTAAAAACTTACAATTTTGATATCAAAAAATGCTTAAAAACGTTTCTAGGATAGGCAGGGGGGACTTCTACTTATACATGTAATTGTACTTATACTTGTAATAATTGTACAGGGTGAATCAATAATTGGGAAACCTTGCATTAAAAGGTAAAATTAACGCAGTTTTTCTTAAATTAAAAATTTGTTAAAAATGTCAATGAAGTAAATGTTCAAAGTGGGTCCCGTTGTTTTTGTTGGAAGATGAATTTCATTAAGTGTTGTAATTTATTGTTGTGTAGTTGCTATAGTTTCTATTACGTTGATTTTATTTGTCAGTTTAAAAATAAAATCTGTTTAGTTTTACTGCTGCTTGTTTTTTACTTTCAAATGAGAAGCTACTCTGCTAAAATCCAAGAGGTTATGTATCCAGACTGCTTATCTTTTCTTAAGCATTAAAGAAAGTACGAAATTTTCATATTTGTAAGAAAAATATTTTTGACACTTTGGTGATGCATAGTAGTAAAAAGTTCTGCTGAAAATTTTTTGAGGATGTCCCAAAGCGAAATATCTGCTAGAATTATAATATTTAATGATGTAACAACCAACTCACCTAAAGACCATTTGTAACTACTGATAGGTCTTTAGCTACTATTGTTAATATACTGTTAAAGAATAAGGGCAGCGCCGTCACCAGCCAAAGGGTTCTGGAGTTTAGAAGGAACATCCATTCACCAGTGGCCAATAAAAAATAATAAAAAAATTAAATTAAAAGAATAAAAATTATTCCTTAATAGCATAGTCGAGCGGTTCTTGGCAACAAATTTTAGACTCTTTTAGTCCTAAGAGAATAGAATCGCCAAGGCTTCTCAAATGCTCGGAGTATTTTACTGGTTTGGAAAGGGAGGAGAGATTAATAATAAGTATTAAAACATTAACAAATGTATATTAACAATAAGTATAAAATTTAACTAATAGTCTTAAGAAAAAATGAATAAAATTCCATTTAGGGAATAAAGCACATAATAACATGAAAATATGCATAAGATAAATATGATAAATCGAAACGAAAATGTAAAATTGGCTTCTATATTTAAATCAATCAATTATTATTAAACAAAACACTTTAAAATTAAGTCAAAAATACTTACCTATAATTTACAACTCGTACACAAAACTTTACTCTACACATCACATTGTTTTGGGACTTAAAGAGTACCCAAAAAACGAGAGCTTTCGCCCCTTGGGCGAAAGTTCTGGACCTTAGTCCGAACTCGACGAGAGTTTACCCCAGAGCACTTTCTTTTTGTCTCCTCTCTATATAAACCAAAATTTACGTGATGGTTGTATTTTTTAAAAATGTCACGCTCAATTTAGCCATTGACTAGATTAATGACCTATTGTTTATTTTATTTTCATATGTGTCTTCCTTTTTAATTTTTAATTTAAAACATTAAAATACTTATTTTGTAAATTCTTTATATTTTTCAAATAATAATAATAATAATGCCATTTATTACAATGATTCAAATTTCCAACTATGGAAATTTAGCGTTACAATAGTATTAAAAGCAAACGATTGAGAAGAAACCTCTAACGAATGCAAAATAAATCGAACTGTGGGAAAAGAAAAATGGTTATTTTTTTTATCTTCCATCCATGAAGACCAACTCATTGCTCTTCTCAATTACCAGACCGCAACTGAAATCTGAGCGAAGCTGATTAAAATTCATGAACAGAAGTCAGAGGTTTCAAAATACATTGTGTATCAGAAGTTCTATGAAACTCAGATGTCTTTTAAACAAAAGGTATCCACATTTCTGGCAGAAATTGAAACATTAGTTAAACAACTAAAAGATATGGGAAAAAATGTATCCGAAGTAGCAGTCATTTTAAAAGTCCTAAATAGCTTACCATCTACCTTTGCAGTACTCATTACATCATGGGATTTGGTCTATCCTGCTAAGCAATCATTATCAGATCCTACTGAAAGGTTATTGAAAGAAGAACAAAGAATGATAGTCTTAGAATTAAACGAAGATAATTTAGCACTTCAGATACAATCTTTGAAAATTAAACCCAGTCAGAAAGGAAAAAAGAGTAACATTCTGGAGTTAAAACAAAAGACAAAGTGTAGCTTATTGATATCCTGACTAAATCGTTACCGAAGAAGTAGTTCCATTCTTATCGAGATTATGTGAAACTTTCAGATCTTAATGAAATAGGGAAATCAGGTCGCGTTTAGTCTGGTGCCGAGGCATCACTCAATAGGACCTCTCCTTCCTAGCCATTTGTTCGGATAATTAGTATTTAATCAGTGCCTAATTGCAGTTGCATAGTGAGGAGGTGCTTCATCTTGTTGGAAGTGGAGCAAACCTTCATCTAGAGCTAGATTGCCTTGGTCGTATCTTTGTTTCTCTAATTTATGAACAATTAAAGGTTCGATGGTGTTTTTCAGCATATTCAGATAAATGTCATCACTTAAATTGCCTGGTATAAAGAAGGAGTCAATTAAAGCATCGCCTAATATCCCTGCCCAAACATTCAGTTTTTCAGGATATTGAGTGTGACCTTCTCTAAATCAATGCGGGTCCGCATCACTCCAGTACTGACAGTTTTGTTTATTTACATTACCATTCTGCATAAAAGTTTCTATTATTATTTCGTATTAAAGCGTAATTTGGATTAACTTCTTTGACTTCAACTTCTTTGACCAACGGATCGTACTTACTTTGCCAAATATGAAGTTCCTTGAGATGAACGCCGTTTATGTTTAAATATACGTTCATGGGGTATACAATTAATTGAAGTACATAACAGGGATCTGATAGAATTAAGAACATTAGCTAAGAACATTTTCCATTGAGTTTGCTGCAAATTTCTAGTTTTTAATGCCAAATTAATACTTTTCCATGATTCCATTATGGCGTTCAACCTTCTGGGTTATACTCAGTAGTTCTTCTCACAGCTATATTAAGGCAATGAAGAAAGTCAACAAACTCTTTGGAAGTAAATGAAGAACTACGGTCACAATGAATATATGAGGGTAATCCAAAGATAGAAAATAGTTGACAGGCAATTTATAATGGTAGATGAAAGTAAATTAGAACATGGAAAATCAAATGGGAAACCACTCTTAGCATGTATTTATTTTTTGTTTTGCTAGTCAATGGGCCC